AGATAAGTGATTATGAGGTGAAATGCAAGGGGTCCCTTTTTACCTGTTAGTGAAACTCTGCTCTCAAGGAGCCAAAACATTTCTAAAATTTGTCATGTTAGATACAACACATTGGAAATTCAGTTATGCTTTTATCACTGTGTGTGGGCTGATGGCCGTATTTTTCTACTTGTGTGAGGGTACATTTCAGCTGTTGAGTTTTTTGCGGCTTTAAATATTTGCAAAACCTTTGTTTTTGCAAGGGAAACACTAAATATGTCTGTACTACCTCTCTTCGTAGAAACTAGGAATGTTTTCATGCAATGGAGTCAAGTTAACGTTCATGTAAGGTAGACAAGGCTCAATTCCTTAATCTTCTACTTCAGCTTCGCTAAATAAATGACTTGACTTTATATAAAATGCCTATAGGGATAAAAATCTGAATATCTATTCATAGTTTGAGATTTTTAACTATTTGTTGATTTTTAGACAGCTCTCTAATGCTCTTCTAAAAAGGAGCTGCATCAATATAGGCTGGCTCATAAAGTGAGAAGCAGAATTCCCTTGATATCGGCTATTGAAATGGAAGTTATTTCTTGAGGGAGCATATAGCTGATGACCACCATAATTCTGAGAAGTAGCTTAATTGAAAGATACTTTTTCTGATTGTCGAAGTCAAAAGATTTAACACACTGTTCCTGAAGCTCTGGCATTGTTGGTATCCGACAGTGGCCATTGCCTGTACAGGAGCTACAATAAGAAAGTGTGACTTGCTGATTTGAGTGTCTACCACGTAGTATTTGACATCTGCTTCGTCAGGAAGTAATCTGTCTTCCCGAAGTTGCTGTTGAGTGAAATGGCTCCTGTTAAGAGAGCAGAACAAGGTCTTCACCTTGAGTAGCATGTAGAGCTCAGCAGCAGCGGATCTGATAATGGGACTGGAGACTTGGTTTTGAACAAGTCAGAATTTAAATAGCCAGGAATTGGCCTCTTTATTTGCCGTGGCTTTCTAAGACAAAATACTGTCAACACAACTCCCAAAATTGCCAACCTAATCAGGTGCTGCCAGGAAGCTGTGAGCTGGACTACGCAACCAGCGTTGCCTCCCTTGTCTGTGGGCTTCCTGCAGGTGAGGTGACCCTCCCATGGGAAGTCGTGCACAGCACGAGCCCTTCCCCACTTCACCAACACACCTCTGTTTCCTAGTGGATGTCTCTGCCAGGTGTGTATTCCTTGCTTCTTCATGCAGCGGTGCTTTTGCGCCCACAGCACTGCCATCTCCTGCCAGCAAAGGCACGAGGGGACGGGACGGAGGCTGAACCCCTGATGCTCCCTTTGGTGTGCAATACCATTGCACACACTACCAGCCACCACCGATTAAGGCCATGTAATAAGATTTCTGTGTATATGGGCATCTCTGGCTCTCTGCTTGATTTATCGCTGATGTGATGTGATGATTTCTGATTATATGCTACTATTTTTAGACACTTTCTTCCTTTGCAAAAGGCAGTAAAGCAGGAAGCCAAGCGATCTGCGTTGTACCACTGCTTTTAAGAGGAATACTCATTCTTTCGCCTTAAGATGATTTTATGCTAGATATTTTCTCTGTAAAGACTAGTGTGTGAGCCATTGTTGTTTGTCATAATCCTGGGTTATTACAGACCAGTTATCCTGCTTGAAATCTGGGGATAGAGGCTAGCAGAAAAAAATCCATGTGACTAATTTTTATATATAGCAGTTTCATACTCCATTTTTCTTAGATCACTGAGGTGATTAACTGTTTAACTGTAACTGTTCATGTTCAGAAATTATTCTTTGAAAGCAAGCACAGAGGCTCTGGAAAAAATAGTAAAAATGATAAAAAGTAGTAAAAATATTAATGCTGTGGTCAACCTTGCTGTTGAGAACTACTGGGAGTGTGGGCTGTTTCTTCTTCCAGTGCACCCATCTACTTTGTCATAGTGGGATTCCAAAAAAAAAAAAAAAAGTACTTAACCATCTGTGGAATTATCTGGTGCTTTTTATTTCTGTTTTCTAAATGTCTTTACTGCATCTCCGTAAAGATGGAGCTGAGAGCTGTGAAATCACTGAGGTGTGGGTCTGAACTGAGCTCCATGCAGTGAAACCATCAGAGAAAATCAGTTGCAGCACCTGGCTCTGCAAAAGAGAAACCCCTTGAAATCAAGGGCAGCTCATAGCAGCAAGTTAAGCCTGTGATTCTTCGCCAGCACCGTAATTTTTTTGCCTCTTGGCAGCACTAAAGCGAAAGAATGCAGTCAGCAAATTTGCATTTCAGTTTTTAAACTTAGTACCCTGGGCATTTTAATTCATGGCAGAGTTTTTTGTAAATAGTGTATCTCAGTTATTTTGAGATGTCTTTAAAAAGACTATAAGGCTATGCTGTTTGGTTTTGTTTTTGTTTTTTTTTTTTTGGCCGACTCTTACCCTGTTAAATATTTAAATTTATAATGAAGCAAGAGTAATACCTGCAGTATCTGCTTTCAGTAAGTCATTGGAATTTGTACTATTTCTGAGGCCAGAAATATGAATTTGGTTCATGTGAATATTCTTTTCCCTTATGAAGGCTTGCTGATTTTAGGTAGCACCCACAGGGATGTGGAGCTTCATCTTTGTGCATCGAACATTTTTGCAGCATTTAGATAGGATTGGCTGTGCACAAACTTAGCTGAAAACCACAAGAAACAAGAGTAAACCGGAGGGGTTCTTCTTCTATTATAACTGGGTTTGGTGCTTTTTGTAAATAATACAGACAGAAAATGTTCAGATGGGAAGGTGACTTTCAAGTTAGTGTCCTCTCTGCCTGTTTAATTTTAGGAGGTTTAAAAGGTCGGGGTGAAATCTTGGTCCTCTTCAAATTACTGAGAACATTCCCATAGCTTCAGTAGGGCCAGGATTGTACTCCCCCGAGCCCCCAAAAGAAATGGAAAATGTGAAATGCCTATGGATGTTTATTTACTGAGCTGCATTCACTCAATAATATGTGCTTGGTTTTAAAGCATAACTGCCTCTGTGAGTCTGGTTAACAAAAAAATTAAAATACTTTATTCAGTTTGTGTTCTCTGTTTCTCCTGCCCTGGTATGAGTTTCTAGCAATGTGGGAAGGCAGGGGTTGGTGCAGAGAGCACCGTGTGGAAGGGGGATTTGCTGTGTGCTAGGGCACGCGCCTGGCAAGTTGGGTTAGGGCAGGAGAGAGACCGTAGCCAGCCCGGGCGGTGCTGCTTGGCTGGGCCATCCGCAGCCATGCACCATGAGCCGCAGCTTGAGGACCATGGCACAGCACCATGCTGTAGACGAAGCCTCGGCTGTCTCTGTCTCTGGAGGCTGTTGTTCACAACAGTAGTACCAATGTACCTGAAGTGCCTGTTTTCCCCAAACTCCTGGCACGGCTTAGTTGTGCTTGTGGATGTGCTCATATTCCTGAGCAAGGTCATTTCAATCTCTGCTGCTTTTAGTGGCTAGTAAGGCTCTTCCCTGGATGCTATGTGAAATGTCTGCTGCTGGCTTATTGGAAGAAAAAAAAGCCTGCCTGAATACCCTGATGAGAGCTCACTTGTACCATGAAGGATGAGTGGCAGCGACAGTGTGCGCTAAGCCGTTTCCTCAGTCAGGAGCGTGCTTTCCTCAGGGACGGCCCTGGCAGTGAAACCTCTCCTCCTCATCCCGCTGGTGTGGCCGTTCACTCCTCTCTGGATCTGGGACTTTTCCTGCTCTCAGCCCTTCAGACCTTCTGATGCACAGGGAGAACCTCAGGTGAGATGGCTTCTGATGCAGGAGCAGCTAAAAGGCGCTTCAGAGACAGGGAGAGTAAAGAGCCCTTGGGTCCCTGCGCACAATGTCATTGTTCGATCTCTTCAGCAGACAGGACAGGATAGACTGCAATGCATTTATCTGAAATGCTGTTCTTCCCTGAGAATACTTAGGGTAATATTAATTTTTAATATTGTTGTCTCCATGTCTCTTTCTTCTCCAAATGGTTAATGTATTTCTAGTTTTCTGTTTCTTTGATTACTTTTAGGTTGCAAAATACACAGGAGTGAGTAAGAAGACTGAGCCATATTTGTAGAAGACTTAATCTTTCAATCAGTTGCCTCTGAATTAAACCAAAACAGCAGTAGCAAATCCGGGAATCTTATTAAAGATGACCTACATAGTGGGAATAAAATTGGGCTTGTACCTTCTTTTGCTTCCTAATTTACTGTTGAGAAATCCGTGAATGTTTTCCTTGAAGTCCATTCATTTTTATTGCTGCTAAAAACCTCATTCCTGCCTGGCCTGGGTGGCATGCTCCTGGATGGAGAACTAGGAGCAGGAGGGCATCTCAAGACAAGAGGGTGGTGAAAGCTGAGCCAGTGCGATGTGATGGGGATTTAGCCCTTGGCTGTAATTAAAAGGGTTCATCAATAGAGCTTTAGCACAGAGTGGTTCCAGCAAAACCCTGCAAGGAAATGGAGATTATACCAGGAAAATAGCCCTTTTGTTGATGTAGTCCTCCAAATGGAGCAAGTTAAACTGCTGCTTCTCTAGGTCTGTTGCTCACTGTAGCTGTGTCGGTTAGGATTTTTTTTTCCTTCTTACTTATTCTGAAATTATATTGATAGTCTAGAAAATGTTACAAGAATAAATCAGAAAATTTACAAAGTAGATTGTTTTATAAATTTCTCAAAATCCATGAAACGGATTGCTGGATATTTGTGAGTGACTAAGGGATTTCAATGTTTAATTGACATCTCAGAGAAAAAAATGCTTACTTAAATATCTAAAACCTTGTACAGTCTTAAAATTTAATTAAAAAGTAAATGTTTAGCCTCTGAGATGACTCCTTTACAGTGGAAGAAACATTTTGGCATTTCTGGTATTTCTAGAAAATAGTGCTGGAAAACAACCATAAGGGGGGAAAAAGCCCCCTTATTGCAATAAATTTGGGCAGGAAGGAAAACACAGTTAAAAGCCTGGTTAAAGATTAAAGGCACTGCAGAGCACTGAGTGCAGGAAAACGAGACATGGCTAAAATGCATTTGATTGTTTCTATAAATACAGGTATGTAGGAATGAAAACTGACTCATTGTTCAGATGAATTTACTGAACAGTTTTAAAAGTGTGCAAGAATAATAAATGATGCAGCTTTTTAGTCGTCTACAGAGAGAAGATCCAGTTCATGAACATAGTGATGGCTCCACTGCTAATTATTCCAGTAAAAGTAATAGAAAATGTGCACAGGGCTTATCCTGAGAATGCAAATACTGTGCATACTGTCGCATGTGCAGAATTTAACAAAATAATCTTACTGTGCATTTAAATGCATTCGTTCCCCTGGGAATCTTATCCAAAAATGATTTTCACCAGAGTCTGTCTCTTCTAGAGTACAATGAGGCTTTACTTTGTTAAATTAAAATTGCCATGCCCTCTTGAGGCGGCATTATTTCTGGAGAGCAACACTTTCCCCTGTGCGGAGTACAGAGGAGGGTGAGAGAAGGCTTTTCTTGCCCAGTAGTCATACTTTTAGAAAGAGGAGATTTAGCCAGCCGATGTGCATGTGCTGGTGAATCTGTTAGAGCTTGACCTAAGGAGCATTTTGCAAACAGACGGAGAGGAAGAGAGGCAGGGCCAGCAGCAGAGCATCCTTGTGAGCTCCTCATAGCCCTGGGTTACCTCCTGTGGGCTCCTCTTGTTCTATAAACACCTAAAAGGTAGATTAAAGCCGTCTCGGATTTATTTCCTGCTCTCTCTCTTCCTCTGCAGCTCTGAATCCAGGGCTGCTCCCGGCCCCAGTTGTGCTCTTGCTGCTCAGCTGTCAGGTTTGTGTTTCAATTACTGGACTGGTTGATGCAGACGACTCTTGTTTTAGCTTCCTTGGATGTAGCTGTTTAGGAGTAATGTAATGAGACTCGAATTTTTGGGTTCGTAAGGCCGGAATAGGACTTGTTCTGAAGCTAGTGAGATAGCTTTAGTGTCCTATGCCGTTGTAAGTATGGTGGGACTACGCTTTAGACTTGGTTTGCTGTGGAGAGGATGTATGTGGTTAACAGAGCAAATGTTTTCTGAGCCTTATGGATTTTTCCACAAGTTTGTGTCAGAACCAGCTCAGTTTCTGAGTCCAGAACTATGGATTATGGGTCATTATTGTGTATGGGTATGCGTTAGTGTTTTGTGCTGAAAAGCTCTCATGACCACATATAACTCAAGAACCAGGCTTGCTTAAGTATACTCAGAGATTTGAAGGTGCTATTCACTTTCCAGGGACCCTGTTTAGTTTAAACATTTCATGAAAGCAACTGTGACTACAGTTCTTATCAAGACTAATGTGTAATATCAATTCACTACAGTGGAGCTAAATTGAACGTTTCACTTGTTTACTTTTCTTTGCTGTGCATGCTAGTATTCAATGCAGAGAATGCTTAAAGCTCCCAGGTCAAAAGTGACACAGAAATAATGACCTGAAATTAGGTATTTTTCTGTTGTGTTTTCATCGTGAGATGAGTATATCTGTAAAAGTCTTCCTTTCAGCCAATGTGCTGGGCAGGAGTCTGCACTACTATGTGCACAGCTGCCACTTTGTTGTTGCTAATGAGAGTTAGCAGCAATGATCCCTTCCCTCCCTTCTTTGCTAAGAGCTGCTAGCCAAGCTTTTTCTTGCTAGGTATAAATTTGTTAAATTCTGCTGCGCGAATCTGCTCCTCCGCCTGTTTCCCACCTCCTTCCCTCAGCTCCGACGTACCACAGAGCCCTTCTCGAGTTTGCTACTGGGGCAGGTCACCATCTCTGGGTGCAGAGGTTGCTCTCAGCTGCCCGGAGTTGTGGATAAGTTTTCACAAGACTTGCACATTTCTGCAAAACTTACCCACCACGTGAATTATAGGTGAAGCTTTCTAAAACTGCACAAATAGAAGAACCTTATGTCTGAAGGTTTTTGACGTAAGTATTTGTAAATATATGACGATAGAAATAGAATTTGTCTTCTCTGACGTGAAATTAACAGGAATCAAAATTCAGCCTGGCATGAGGAAGAACAATGTTGCTGAAGATTGATAGAGTTGCACTGTTTTATATAACTCATGTACGACCATAGTTTAATTATACATTAAATACAGCTAATACTTTCTCACATAAAATAGTCTCTTCAGCTTGATTAAATGCTACTGTACTAATTACAGTATTTAAAAATTCTTATTTCCTATTTTGTAATTTATATTCTCTCAATTTTTCTTCTTTTTTGAGGAGAGGAAAAGTCATATAGGGCAAACACATTTTACATTTATTCCTCATCTGTGCCTCCTTCTCTGCTTCTCCCCTGTTCAGAAGTTTATAGAGTTTGAAGATGCACTGGAACAGGAGAAGAAAGAACTACAAATCCAAGTGGAACACCTTGAATTTCAGACTCGACAGCTGGAGCTGAAGACCAAAAACTATGCAGATCAGAGTAAGCGAAGTTGTACACCAGACATGATTATACACGTTGCCTTCCACACACATATACTGCTACTTTGAAAATATTTTTCATACTTTTTGTTTGTTCTAATGTAATTTACGTAAAGCCTGAAATGTCTGGTTATCCCTTACTTTTGTATAAAATTCTGAGCCTTCTAAAGGATGGGATGTATCCACACTAATTTAGTAGAAGCTTCATTGCTTCTCTTGTGTGGGGCATGCTCAGTCTCTCCAGATACAAGATTTGGGCCATTGGTGAAGCTTCGGAACCTGGTTTCCAGTTTCAAATTGTCCCTGAATAGAACCTCCCATTTTTTTCTCATACAAACGATCACATTTATTTGTTTGTTTGTTTATTTATTTATTTTTACAAATACTTCCTAAACATATGCAGCCGTGTTTTTTTGGCAGAGGTTCCCCTCAGAATTCATTGGTGTTTTGTCCAGTACTCCTGCTCCTCAAATAGCCAGAGGCACCCATCCCAGAGGATAATTTAAGTTGTTGTCAGACTAGGACACTTACGGGGCACCAGGCTACTGCTGAAGAACTCTGCTTCTATGGTCTTATTGCATGATTTGGTCTGCTTATTCTGGGAACAGGCAGATACCCAAATTGAGTTTGTAGTGAAGACCAGATCCCACGATGTGCATTATTCTGTTTCAGTTTGTTTTGTTCAGTAGGTATAAACTAATTTCTAACAAAATATGCTTTGAGACTTCTGGTTTCTTTTGAGAGCCTGATGTGTGTTAGCTGATGGCTGGAATCTTCTCTTGGTAGTTTCACGACTGGAGGAACGTGAATCAGAAATGAAGAAAGAGTATAATGCTCTACATCAGCGTCACACAGAGGTAGGATGTCATCTCATTATTTCTAAATAAGTAAACTCTTAGCCTGTAGGTAAAGTCATGTCAAAGGATTCAGCTTTACAATACTAGTGATGACTAGAGCTTCTGAACTTTGGGAACATCAGAAATATCTGAATGGAGGGTGTAAAAAGGATGGAGCCAGGCTCTTTTTAGTGGTGCCCAGTTACAAGACCGGAGGCAACTGGCACGAACTGGAACACAGAAGGGTCCCTCTGAACATGAGTAAAAACTTCTTTACTGTGAGGATGACGAGCACTGGCACAGGTTGTCCAGAGTCATGGTGGAGTCTCCATCCTTGGAGCTATTCAAAAGCCACTTGGACATGGTCCTGGGCAACCTACTCTAGATGGCCCTGTTTGAGCAGGGTCATTGGACCTGATAGACCCCGGGAGGTTCCTTCCAACCTCAACTGTTCTGTGATTCTGTGAACAGTGCCCCACTACCTCATCTCCCACTGCCGACAAGCTGCAAGGAGACGTCTTACATTATTTTTGGGTGTGCTCTTTCATGGCTCTTCTGTTATGAGTTTAAGCTTAAGTCATTTCCAACACTATTTGCTGTCAGATCTTCTGTCAGATTAGTCCATTTACTTACATCATCAGCTTAGAAGACAAGAGCAAGGACAAGGAGATGTGCAAAAAAACAAAGGGAATTTGAAATGGATGCTGGAAAAGATCAAACAAAAGCAAAAAGCAGAAAATGAGTCGTTTCTTCTCCTCTGTTTGGCTCATGGATTTTTCTCTCCTCACAGATGATCCAGACCTACGTGGAACACATTGAGCGATCCAAGATGCAGCAAGTTGGGGGAAATAATCAAACTGAGGGCAGTCTACCTGGGAGAAGGTAGGGCCATAACCTCTCCATGTAATGTATGCCATCCAGGAACTTACAAACTGAGTGCGCATATTTGAGAGAGAGAAACCAGAAGCAGGATCTTTCCCTGTGGGCATGGACTGTAGTTGAAGTTTTTTTGTAATGGGTTGTGGGTGAGTTGTGGGTACGTTCTCTAAGGCTTGATGACGAGGAGCTTTATGTGTTCTGTTACAAAGCTTAGGCTTTGTCACGCTGCCATTGGTGGGGGGCCTCTGGAAAAATACGTTTGTATTCTCAGGTAGCATGTAAAAGGTTTACCTACAAAATGGATGGAGGTGTCAAATAAAGTATTTGTGTGTGTGTGTATGTGTGTCTTTGTATGTGCCAGCAAAATTGTAGCAATTAAGTGCGTTAGCCAGTATAGGATTTTTTTTTCCCTGTCATTCACCTAGTAGACCTACTTATGCCCAAGAAATTGATTTTTCTCCTCCCCCCCCGCCCCCGTTTTCAAAGCACAAAACGAGTAAGAACCACCTTTTGCTTAAAGAAGGCAGTGGTAGGAAGGAAGTTCAGTATATAGAAGAACTAGTCTTTTGTGTGCTAGAACAAATTTAAAGCACAAAAGTTGCAGTTACGTTGATTTCAGCACAGATACATCTGGGTTTAGCTGGTATGTGAAGGAACCAAATGCTTTCTCTCTGATACTATATACCAGTAACATTGCCCACAGGCTGAGAAGTAGAAGTGATGTTCCATAAATACTGGTTAGAGAAGCAATAGAGCACATAACACAAAATCTACTCAGATTAAGCATAATCTATTAAGTCACTCAGCCATAAAAAAGATGTTTTCTGTGGCAATTTTTATGCATGGCAGATTACTATTTGTGTTAATCATCATATGCTAATGAGATGATTAACACTATAGTGACACTGTCTAACCCAGGAAGTTTTAAACTAAAACTGTTTTCCAGGCAAACATTATTGACCAAGTAATATGCTGCAGGAGATTAAATCTTTTTGTTGTCCTTGCCTGTCTTTTTTTAACTTTTTAATTTCTTCTGGCCTTGAGGGGTGTTAAAAGGTTTTGCACACATGCTGATTACAAGCTGTGGGAGCTATTGGTCTGAAAAGTAGACAGACACTACAAGATGCACAGGAATACTCTGAAAAAAGTGCCTGCTAGGTGCGTCCTCCCTCGTCTCTTACAAAATATGTCTGACTGATCTTGGTTAATATCTGTGAACTTCAGCTGGTTAGTATCACTGAACTTCACTCAAAACCCAAATCTTTGGGAAGCATTAGGCTAAGAAGAGGAGTGGGGATGGCATGTCAGACTATACAGAAAGGGCAGCATGGGCAAAGACACAGAGATGAAAATACAGGGAAAACAGATAAATGGAAAGCCATGACAGTTTTTGAAGTAGCATCTGGTAGGGATGATGAAATGCAAAAGAAGAGCATTGAGCAAAATTTGGAGATGAAGAAAGAGCAAAATTATTTGAAATTAAGAATAAAGAAATATATTAAGAATAAAGGAAGAATAAGTAAGGATATTTTAGTAACTTGTATTTAGGTCTGTAACACTTAAATACCAGAATGTCAGCTGGGTTTGGGGTAATGTAATAGGAAATTTCAGATCTTGGCATAGGGCTTGTAAATACCCTCTGTCTGTTATGGCTCCCTGTTGCTGCATTGGACTGCTCTGGAAAAGACTGAATTCAAATTGCTGAAGTTTTGACTCTGTATTGTAAGAAAGAAAAAGGGAGAGAAAAAGAGACCCAACCCCGCCTTGTCAATGAAAGAGGCTTGGAGGATGGAAAGGGAGTAGTAAAAGACATGAATCTTCAGAAACTTTGGTAACTAGCCTGGGGCTCCTGCCAGATTCCCTGCAGCCTTAGAGTCATACAATATCCTGAGCTGGAAGGGACCCACGAGGATCATTGGGTCCAACTTCCAACCCCACATAAGGCAATCTAAAGGTTAAACCATATATCTAAGAGCATTGTACAAACACTTCTTGAACATCGACAGGCTTGGAGGTGTGACCGCTTCCCTGGGGAGCTTGTTCCTGTGCTTGACCACCCTCTCAGTGAAGAATTTTTTCCAATACTGTCTATTTGCTATTTCATTACCTCCCATAATAATTAAAGATACTTATGTAGCCTTGGCTACCAGAATAACTTGCAGCTGGAAGATACTCAAAGAAAGATCCTTTATTTATTCTGAATCAGTTGATAAGATTTTTATACTCTTATTTGTAAGGCTACCAAAGCCTTACATAAAGGAGGGAAAGACACAGTTATATATGAATCAAGGAGGACTGTTTACCCTTCCTCTTCTGACAGTTGAATAGTCCTTTCAGAAAAGAATATCTTGCAGTATTTCTTCTAGAGAGGAGTAACTAAAGGCTGTTGTAGTTGTTGAGTGGGCTGTATAGTCAGTTATCTCTGTGCTCAATTTTGTGCAAAACAGTAAATTAGTCTCACAACAGAGAGTGGTTTAGGAAAATAAAAATAATTACAGAATACAGTGTTTGGGGTCTGGCTAAAATTGGATTGTCTAAAATATAAAAATCTGTTGAGAAAAAAAAAATCAAAAGGTAGATGGCGGCCTTCCTAGGCAAAAGAGACAGGCATGGGGGGTGTAGAAAGCATGAAAAGACATGGTGTAAAAAGAACCAGTAGTTTGTAGGTGTTCCCTTATCAGATTGTTTTTCTTCCTTCTCCTCTCCCCCTTGCAGTCTGGAAGTCCACAGTGAGCTCCCAGAACATGGTCTGATTCTAGTGTTACAGCTGAAAGGGGATAAGTGTGGTAGGCTTGTTTCCCTTCCCACTTATCCTTCTGTAAATAAGAATATATCTGTGGAAGTACTTACGCAGTAAAATATAAAAGTACCGTAGGCAAAAGCATGCTTAGGGCCTCTGTCTTTTAAGGGGTGGCTCATATATGCACTTGCTCAATTTGGGTTGGACTGCATGGTGGAAATTGATTTTAATGAGATTTGCCTTCCCTAACTTTCAAATAAGTTAATATTAATTGTGGCTTTATGTTATCATTCCTTGAAAGAGATGCACAGTGAAAAGTGTTACTGGCTATATCTGCAAGACTGCCATTCTCTGGGATGAAGGGCAAAATTTTCATCAAGAATTGCCTCTTCACATTAGAGAAATTAGTATTTTACCCTTTTAAGTGTGGCATATTGCTGGTCTCCTTGGAGAGAAAAAAAGAGAAACACTTTATGTCTATGAAAGCCCCTGATGGGGCTATGATCTGCGTTTGTAGGAACCACCAGTGGGAAATGGGACTTTTTCCTTCATTTCAAGCTTCGCACTGTGTGCGTGCGTGCGTGCGTGTGTAGCTCTGTGTTTGTATAAGCTTGTGCACAAGTACTTGGGTCAGATGTGTGTTTTTGTGTCACTGCACAGCTGGGTGGGGGTGAACACCAGTGTTTGTGTCTCTTGGTGCACTGATGTGCACTGGAGGGGACACGGGCATAATTTCTCATGGTCTGTCACACAAATTTGAGTGCATTTATTTATTTTCATCTGTGGATGTGCTTGGGTGTGTTAGACTGCATAGGGATGCATATTTGCATAAGACCGTAAGTACACCAAGTATGTTTGCCTGTCACTTGGGAGAAGTTTGTGCAAGAACTGCTGGGGGGCGTTTGTATCTACTGCCATCCAGGACAGGCAATGAGTACGGTGCACACTTCCACATGGTGTGGATTACAGTGCATGCGTACTCCGTGTCTGTTGTAGGGCTGCATGTTTGCATGACCTTTGCTCTCTAATGGTTGTTTTTTTGTCTCGCTTTTTGTGCGATTGCTGCTCTGTTTTGGCTGTTATGTTTGTCACTGCAGTCATCGCCAGTCATGGAGGAAAAGGTAAATCCTATTGCTGCATCTTAACTTTGTTAACCCTAGTTTTTGGAGGTTGCTGTTTAGTGGCAACAGTGTGATGCTGGGAATGTACTGTACCGGCATGTTTGCCCTCTTTGTCTACTGGCACCTGCATTAGACTTGCTCATTCGGGTGAGGCAGAGGGAGCCACCAAGCTGCTGGGATTACATGTCGGGAAGAAGCTTGTGAACTCAAAGGCAGAAGACGCAGAAGTTCGGTCCCAAAACAGGATCAGTCCTCTGTGATTGGACATTTACACTTCACATCCCTGAATGTTTTAAAAAGTCATCTTTTCTCCCTTATTTTACTATAGAGTACATATAGAATGTGAGGCAGAAAATGCCTGTCACTGTTAGTAGCTCTACAAAGGCACTTCTGACTTTGGGCTGGGCAGTGAGTTCTGCGCCCGGAGCCTGCAAAGAGAGCAGTTCTCATCTTCAAATGTTGGCAAACAAATTGTGGTTTTGTTATGTTTTGTAAGCTTTAGCATGTTACCTGTAGAGCATCCTGATCCCAGGTTTTAGCTACTGCAAACCTTTATTGAGGAGTTTGCTGTTTACCTTGTAACTAACGCACGGTGGAACTAACCAAGTGTTAAGAGTCACCCTCTACTGAAAAGAACTGAGTGTATGAAGGTTACTCCAGCACTCAAAATTTAGACCAGCCCTGAGGATACTCTAAAGTTCTTTGAAGACTGGTAGTCAACCCCAGGACTGCCAAGCTAAAGCCAGCTCTTCTGTAGTGTTTGCTCTTTCCCCTTCCCTGGGAGGTTCAAAAGAGGCTGGAAGGTGTTTCCAGAGAAACTCAGTGAGGAAATTTCCTGACAATCTACGTTAAAATCCTTTCCTGAAGATCCTACAGCTTCTGGTGCTACAGAGACTTTGTACTTTAGGGACTGTGAAGTTCATATGTTCCATGTACATTCAATGGGGTGCTGTAACTCCTTGCATGTTAAATGTCCATGTGTTTGTATATGAACGTAGAAATAAGCTATGGATTCCCAAAAGAAATCTGATAGAGATTACCTAAAGAGGAAGTATAATTTAATGTCTCTCTCAGCATATATTTGGGATGGCTCATATTTCTCAGTGCTGCCAGTGAGTTACATGAGGCCATCCCAGCATAGTCACAAAAGCGTTTCTATTATAGCGTGCTGTCAGATATTCTGACTGCACCACTTGTTTTGCAAGGAATGTTTTGTAGTTATAGGAAATTTTCTCCAGCTATGTACATCTGTGAAGCATGACTCCATTAAGACCATCGTTCTAACCTGAAGAAGAGGGAAGATACGAAACTAATGGTTAAAGCTGCTCAAAAAATGGCCTAATTTTTTTTTTTTTCCCCTGAAAAGAATGATTGTTTTGCAGTAAACTCTTTGGGACCATTGAGTTATTTCTTTAACTGTAAAACTAGGAATTTTCTGTCTTTGTGGCATAAAGTTCTAATTTCTAGTTTTGAATCTCTTCATAATCTCTTATACATAAACTGACTATACTTTCTGTGGCACTTAGTACAGTGCCAGGGGTGAAGATTTCATATTAGGGCAAAAATTTCCCTAGTATGTTATTTAGAAACTTAAAACACAGCTGTTAGAAACTTTCAGGGTCTTGGAATGATAGCAGTAGGATAAAGAGAGGTAAATGCAGGAAGACAGACAGAGGTAAATGTACTTTGGCATCATGACCTATTAGGAGCAGGTGTAAATGGCAGGTATAAAGGTATAAATCGATATTTAGACAAACAGCAGTGGAATGTTTTCTACAAATCTTCAGATTGTTAATATTTAAAAGTGACAAGCACCCAGATACTTTTTGAGTGGAAAGGCTACAAGGACATTGATAATCCCTACCATATATGAATCTGGTTTTGAATCTGTTGAAAGATTGTTGCATCTCCTCTAAAAAAGAAAGTAAGGTTAATCAGGTTGTGTCAATGATCTGTGTTCCTCTAAAATCCAGTTATGTGCTGCCTTTGTAAGAGGATCTGTCTATGAAACTTCCATGTATGAGTCCTTAGGATCTTTAGGAGAGGATTTTAATGCAGATTCTTCGGAAAAGTGCATCCCAGATCTCCTTGCTGGGCCATGCTGGAAACACCTTTCTGCCCCTTCTGCTTACCCAAGGTAGGCCACAGCAAGCGGTTGTTCCTCAGCACGAGTGACACTGACACAGTGGTGTGGCATGCTGTGTTGGCTGGGCAGTGCTGAGAAAGGGAAGGTTGGGCACTTTGGTTTTCTCCACGAACATTGTCTCCTCTGCTAGACACTCCACCTCCTTCCTTCATAAATGAGCTGGTCCATGCACCATCTCCTGTGTTAGTGTTTTTGCATATGTCCCGGGGGGGCTTATGTCCTGCTGCAGTCGTTTCGCCTGTGGTCACGGGTGGGGTGGTTGTGATGGTTGCCTAGCCTGGTCATCAGACCAGCGCTGATGATCATTAAAGAAAGGCACATGAAGGTCTACTGTTATTCATACTGGTGTACAGAAGGGCGGATTTCATCACCCCGCACCAATAAGCGGAAGCCCCATACAGGAGTAGGTGAAGTACCATCATTGAACCCCTTTGTGGGTGTATGTCACACAAAGGATCAGCTTAGTTCATCTCTGCATGGCCACTGGAGTCCAGCTAGCGGAGGCTACTGGGGATATCTTCTAAATGGACATGTGCTCTGTCCCTGCAGACCTGCTTCTCTGGCATGAAACCAGTTGCCAGTTATGGCATGCTGCTGCAGCCTTTTCCACCTCCACTGCTTGCTCTAGATTTTCTCCCACTGGAACTTGGTCTCAAAACCTGGGCCAGCTTTTATATTCAGAATTAAACCTGCAGCTAGCTAGTCACCTGCAATTGCCAGAAAGAAGAGGATGAAGAAAATGTAATTTCAGACACCTGGCAATATGAATGATGCATTCATTTATACCTTTGTTTAATTTCTGAATTTTAAGTGCATTGTAATATGGATATGGAGAGCGGATTACAGAGTACAAGTATTATTTTTCTTGCTTAGTTGGAAGTGATCCAAAAACTTCTGATTTCTGCTGTGGGAGCTAGCCAGGAATGTACAGAAGTGCCATGTAGATGACTCTTACTTAAAAGCCTCTTTCCTGACCCAGTGATGACATCTCTAGGATCTGTGGAAGCTTTTTTTTTTTTTGCTGTGAGAGTTGTTTGCTGTGGCTTGTTTTCCCACAGAACCTTTGTTTCTCAGAAGATACACCAACTTAAATTGGCTGATGATTCCCTGCCCTTTTGCATTCCCCCAAAATGTTTCGTACTGATGGAGAAGTCAGTTGTCCCTGTTGTGGTCATTTGACCCCCTCCCTCTTAGAGTCTCCCCAGGAAGATGTAGGGCTCTAGCAGTAGACAGCATGAGTCTGAGTAGACAACACCATGGAAGTGTGGGAGGTGGGAGTTCATACAGCTGCTATGTGAGGGGAGGAGTGCAATTCAATTTCTAGTGATTAATATTTCACATAAGCTAGTGTGCCATTTCCTTTCTGTAAGAACTTTGTAAATGGCTAACAAATTGTTTTCCCCTCTCTCTCTGTTTCTCTCTTTAGCAGGAAGGAACGTCCTAACTCTCTGAATGTCTTCCCCCTCGCGGATGGCATGGTACGTGGGCAGATAGGGGCCAAGATCGTCCCAACACTGGACCACTGGCACCTGAGTGACCTCGGCCAGCTGCAGTCCAACTCCAGCTACAAGGTTTTATAGACCATCATGGAGCAAGGGTTTCCCACTCTCCCACTGTCAATAGCATCCCACGTTTTCATTAAGATGGAGACCAATCTGTGTCCGTAACCCTTTGCAGCCTCTCCCTGCTGTGCGTCTGCTCCTTTGGTACCTGTGCTGTGGGTGGGAGGACATTCTTTTGCACATCTGGCATATGGTGCCTGAGGGATTTGACACAGCTCCTCAAGCTTCTTGTCTCAGTGATAATCTCCTTTACTTGGCTGGCCCCAAGTTGAAAGGAATGTGTGGAGAGGCAGTTAGGGATTTAGGGAAGATAAATCTTTTACTTTTTTACAGCTTATTTGGGAGAGGAAATGGTGGAACTTGTCCCCTTTCTCCCCTTTGATAAGAGCCATGCTTTTGCACCTCAGCTGGGACGAGGCATTGGATTGCGCTTGCTCTCCAGTGTTTGTCCTTTTTGACTGGTCACTGTTCTGGCCTTCCTATCTTCAGTAAAAAGGGCTCCTAATCCTTCCTGGATGCCCAAGTCTTGCACTGTGCTTAAAGGTCTTCAGTTCCTCATATATCTAGTCATTGCTCTAGACTTGCATTGTCTACCTTCAATACACTTGTCACCTTCAATGCACTGCCTTCTGCACTGGGGCTTGCCAAAAACCTCACAGCATTGCAACTGCGCTGAAGCAGCTGCCATGGTTCTGCCTGTTGCTTGTGGTGCTCTGCTCTGCCATTCAGAGACTGGTCTGAGCTGAAAGACCCAGATGTTGTACTCTTAGCTGACAGGTCACTGCAATTGTTTACAGTTTAGACTACACATGGTGACCCACATTTCCCATGAGCTGTACCAGTAGACTTCTCAAAGTCTTTGTGTTCAGGATCCCACCAAATTCCTCTCTTTGAATGATGTTCCACAAATGCCCGGTGACAGGCCTGAGAGCCAGTGGTGCATCTACCCAGCACAGCTTACAGTAAGTCCACCAGTATCTCACAGAGCTTCTGGTCTGCTTTAAAAGTGCCTGAGAGAGTTTACTTTCTCTCTGCCTGGAATTTGTAGAACATCAGGTGTTTTATATGTCACATCTAAGGACTGGTGTCCTTTTGAGAAGTTGTAAATAACTAATCTTGTAAAATACATCGAGGCAGTAAAGGCAAAGAGGAGGAAAAAAAAACCAAAGAAAGAAAAAGCCCAACTTGTTGTTGTACCCATTCTGCATGTCTCCAGATTACATTAATGGTACTTTGGCCTGAGGGACACTGCAGGAGTGGCCTCCATGATGCATAGCACAAGAAATTTAGACAAATTCAAAATTTATGCAGAAAACAAAGCAGCAACTTCCCTTTTTTAACACTACCTTTGTAAAGTAGCCAGGCCTAGCACAGCACAAACCTTAGCACTTCATCAGCCCTCTGCAATCATGGAAGTTGGAAATCCAAAAGCAAGATCTTTGGATAGGATGGAGACTGTTCTTGGAACGCAGCCTTTTTTTAGTGTTAGAGGCACAGAAGTCTGGGAAGTGTAGCAACTTGCAGAATGCCAGTTGGGTCCTACAGTCATTTCTGGAGAGTTTTGCCTGGAATTAGGGAATGGTAATGCCACAGGGCAAAAACGTAATTAAGGATGGTGGAAATGAAGATAGAGCATGAATACGTTTCTTCAGACTAGTGCTGTGCCAACACAACACTGCTGCAAGGACGCAGACAGCAACCAAAATGAACAGAGACCACTTCTGGTTCTGGAACCAGTTTATTCCTTGGGATCTCCAGGCAGTGCTGCACACTATGGTGTGAACATGCCCTTGAGCTCTCTACCGATCAGGCGTGTGCGGCAGGGGTTAGTTTTTAGAGAAGAGCTGGGAGGATGTTGGGGTTAGATCCATCTTCCACAGACTTGCTAAGGCGTAATTCTTCAAGCGGTACCATTACAGAATTTCTGAAAGAAGTTGAGTGGATCTCACTTATAACCCAGCGTCTGCATTGCAGGAGAGTGCAACAGGAACCCAGATAAATTGGAAGCTTTGATGTCCAAGTTCAGATAATGGAGGGTTACTGAACTGGATCTCTTAGTGATTTGGTGGTGGTGGTGTCAGGCAAAAAAATTCATTTCTGGTTACAAGAAAGCTTTGTGCAGAAGTAGTAGTGTGCTACTCCAAATGTATCTGATGGGTAGTGCTGGGATTTGTGTTGGTGCTCATTAGGGAAACTCAGAAGTGGGATGCCAGCTTTAAGGAGGTTAGCGGGTAGGGTGGAGTTAGAGAGCTTGGGCTGTGGAAGACTTGGATGGGGTAGCATGTTACGGAGGATTTCTTAAGAGTATGGAGCAAACCTATGAATAGTTAAAGGTAATCACAAGATTGACTGATTTACTAGATTTGCAGTTTGGAATGGAGATTTTCCTCCTGCAAGCTTCTTGCACGCTCTCTGTCTGGAATGCTATTTCTTAAGTATTTTGCATGACTGAAATCTCAGCAGTACTGCTCATGCACTCCTTGCCTGTTCTTCAGCAGCTCTGATATTTCACTGACATCAACTGCACACACACGACTCACCTTCCCAGTATGTATATCCTGACTTTTCTGACTAGTTTTCCTTCTTAAAGTGGCCATACTGTAGTTATATTTTAAGTGTCCTTGTGTACTTATTATTACTATTTTCTGTTTTAGCTGCTGTCATTATATTTTATTTTTACATTCAGTTGTACATTTATTTTATATAATGTTTTGGAGATGAAAGTCCTTAACATTTTTGTTTTTATGTACTATGCTTTCAGTGTTATAACCATACAATTGTGGCTTCTCATGGTGACATATGACTGCTATGAATGTTGGGCCTTTGCAATGCATTTTGGAGGTCACTACTACACATTTGATGTTTAGGAGGTTGACAGGTATGGCTGTAGGTAAGTGGTGGTTGTGGAGAGTATTCTTTGGGTGAGCTATGGGTTATGGAGAATGCCTCCTACGCTGTAGAGGAGAGCCATACACTTAGTGGAATACTTAGCATTAACGAAGCGCTTGGGACAATAGAAGGAAGATACCAGCAAAGATCAGTAGAGGTTCTGGACTGAGAAGAGAAGCGCCTTAGTAGCATTTACATTTGGGAGGAATTTCTCCAACGCAGGCTGGTACGTTGATAAAGTATTTTTTCTAGGTAAATATAAAACTCAGATGTATAACCAAAGAGTAAGTGAAAGACCAGGGTAATTACTCACTGGTGTGTTCTGAGTGAGGGGCAGATTATGTCAATAAACAAGAAGTTACAGGATATCTCTGATACAAATATTGCCCTATAGACACTGGCTTTCTTAATACAGGCTTTCTGAATGACGTCTAGTTCCTAAGAACAAGAAATGACACATGGACCCACCTGGGTGTCTCTTTTACAGTGCTAAGATGCTCATGGGCTTTGGTTATGCTTATAGACTTACAGTGGGTACAAGAACATCTCTGAATCCTTTCATGCAACAGAAATGTTGTTTGGGGAAAGAGGTTTTATGGTTGCACTTTACACTTGATACTCTTTGTCCCTTTGTACATTAGAAAGCACAGCAGGCAAACTGGTAGTTGAAATAGTACAAGGCGTACTGGATCATATTTGTTCTCTCACCTGGCTTGATTTTTTTTCTTTACATATTAGGAAAGTAGCTCCTGAAACAGGAAGATGAAACAGAGGTGGGAAGTGTGGTTTTCACATGTAGCAGCCTAAGTGAAAAGTTCCCATCTCAGTCTTAATGCTAAAATCAGCAAATCTGCAGGGAGATTATTTGAATGTCCATGTAGGAATGTGGGTGCTGTTTGGACTGACAATGCAGAAACTATATACAAAATGTTTTTCACGTATTTAATGGTAATGCAGTTTTAAAAAAATCTTAAATTTCCAATATAAATGCACAGATGCAATGTAAAACCTTTGACTTCCACCATGCAATGTACAGCAGGGTATTTTAAGATAGACGTATAGAGGCCAGTCTAATTAAAGGAAGATCTTAATAAGATTCCAGATTTAAAAAAAAAAATACGGCTGCAAAGGGTTAAGTCAACATTTTTTTCAGTTTTCTCTCTCATGCCATTTTGAATTTTTTTGTCATATTGTAAAGTTATAATTAGAACAAGAGACGGAGACTTCCAAATTAGTGAAGTGAAACAGCGTCACAGCTCCAAGGTTGGGAGGCTCAGAGCAGCCTCTGGGCAGAATCAGGATCTTTCTAGTACTTGCACAGGATGGGAGAGACAAGTAGTAAAGATTAAAGCTGGGTCTGGATGTGCAGATGCTAAATGTCACTGCACCCAGTTGCAACTCATTATCACATACAACTCTCAACATTAATTTTGTCATCTCCCTGCAGGCAATAATTAGAGTGGGCTGCCATGAAGAATGGGGAGATTTCATTTGGGTCTGGGAGTGATCACAGGATTGGTCAAGATGTTAGTTGTCTGACTGTGAAGCAGTGTTGTTTTAATTGACAAACAAGGGTCACAGTATAAAATCCTGATAGAGCCTTGAAAGCCTCCCACGTTTTTCAGGAGGTGGTATTACAAGAAATAGGGCTGTAAAGTCTGTAAAACTGCGAGCCATTTGTGCGCATTTCACACTGGGAATCCATCTCCTATGTTAATTTGTCAGCTTCTGATTTTTGAATTCTTGGATCTTGTTGTCCTGTCATTTGGAAGTGGGGAGGTCACACCTGTTTCTACTGTGTTGTCAAGCTGGACCCATGCCTGGCTAGCTTCTGCATAAGGTGGTATGGGGACACAGGTCTCCTGTGCTAGCAAATTCAGACCATCCCAGCTTGGTATCTGCTTTGTTTTTGCTGTTTAGTGTCAAAACCACTTTGCTGTTCTGTCATCCAGGTTGTGTTGATGGCTTACAGTAATGACATCATCCAAGACCTCTAAGAGGCCACTTGAGATCCTTCCCAAGCAATATCCATGTTGCCTTCCAGTCTTGGGAAACACTGGCCTGGCTTACCGCAAGTGCCAAAGCCCTTCAGCTTCCACTATAGTCAGTGTGAGCTGCAGGTGCTTTTC